GTATAGAGTTGCAAGCAACATTTAAAATCCTAATAAATGGGTTCAAGCCCCAACACTGAATTTAAAGCAGCTTCGATTTATTGTTGCCGTTGGAGCAGGTGAAACACTTATTCAAGCACCTACTTAGAGTATCTCCGAAGGATTCTTTATTTATAAAGAGTATTTTTAAATCTAGAAAGTCAAAATTTTAGTAAATTCCAACAAACTCTCTATTTTGACATTTTATTTTGCTTTTCTCAAGAAACATTTATTGATTTTTCTTCCTATTTATTTAACATAATTTTTATATGTCAATTAATCAATCAATTTAAACTCGATTTGAATAGTTTAAGAATTAGATTATTAAAATATGTGAATTATACATTAAGAATAGAGAATAAATTTGATTATCTAAATTTGGAGAGTTAAATCCACTCTTTATTTTAAAATTTTTTAAATAGAGAGTGTCTTGGAGCTCATTTTTAGACATTGACTTTCTAAAATAGAAATAATTTTGTATTTAAAGAGTTTCTTGAAAATGCTTTTAGCATGTTTAATTTTATCTATTTCATTACATTGATTATGCCAATATGCTTGGTCTAAAATTTTAATGTATGTATGGAATGTATTTGGTACGCTGCACTTAAGGAAATGAAACTATTTCTTTAATCGTGACTAATTTTTATTGAGTTCGAGAACTAGATATATCCATATGCTCGATATGAAATTTAAATGCATGCATAGGGTATGTTTCATATGTTAGTTTAATTTTATCTTGTCTAGTATATTAAACATATTAACAAATGGTATGAAAAAATAAATGCATGCGTAGGATATAGTCTGTATATAGAATTGAAAATAAGTGAACATGACAATAAAATTTTAAACGTATCTTTTTTTCACGAAATATTCTTCAACTAGTCGTTACTCGAAAATTAATCATTCAACACGATATTTTATTATTATTATTTCACTTATACTTCTACTTTTCAATTCCTTTCTTTTACCAAAATAAGATAGACATATAATTTACATCCCTTAATTCTTTCCTTTTTCCATTTGCATATAATTGTTATAAATGTTCTCCCTTATCCTCACACAAGGAAAAAGTTTATTGTTTGGTTGATTTAGGAAATTTATTGCCTTTGAAATTAAATATTTTGGTACTTCATTGAACATTTGTTACGTATTGTTAATTAAATGCAACAATCTATATAGGCTTCCGCCTATATTAGAATTTCATTTAATTTTATGGGAGGAGAAATCATATTTATTAAGATGGTTATTTGAAACAACCGTTAGTTTCGTAAAGAATACATGTACAAGTGTCAACTTTAATCTTGGGGGTAGCCCATTTTACTGGCCCTTCATGATCGGCTAATGATTTATTAACACCTAAAAATGGTATTTTTGGCAAATTTTATTTATATTTCTATTTAAGTTGCGAACTAGAGTTTTATACGTGGGAAAGAGAGAATATATAAAAAAGGTGCTTAGACTTGAAAAGAATCGATTTCTCTTAAACAGGAAGTCGATATAGAAGTTAACCTCAGTAAGTCCTTGATACGATCATGTATTGACCCCAGAATATTGGTTTCTAAAGCCAAAGTAGGCATAAAAGTAAGCATATCGAATATATAGAAATTAAGAAAAAGAACTACTCACAAATACCTTAGAGGCTTAGACTTGTTGGACCATGGATTCATAACATACCGAGTAGCATCAATCTCTATCAAACTATCTTGATTTTAACTTCAAATTCATATTTATATAGCACCTTATAGTCTGTAGTAGATAGCACGACAAAAAGAAGAATTATGATCGTATATGGTTTTAATATAGTAATACCTATTAATTTTGAAGATAAGAACATTCTATAATTTAGAAATGGGAGGTATTAAATGTCAACATAACATGTGATCACCTTCACTATAGTTCACTAATTCCCATTCCTCCTTTTCTCCTCTTCGGCAATAATTAACCCTTCATCTACTTTATGTAGTATTTATTATTACACAATCCAATTTACAGTTCTTCAGAAAACACGAATGACTTGTCCTGATATAATCCCAATTGCGTACAATTCATTGTTCAAGAACCCACGGACTTCAGTGTAATTAATATTCGTTCTTGTACAAGCCAAAAGGACCCCAATTTCTTGATGAACCGCGTGGAATGTAATCACACTGTACAGTTTTCCCTCAACCATGGATTGACCCATAATCCTATTATAAAGAGTTTTTAGGGGTTCAGTTTGATGAATACTTCATATGATAGTCCTATACGCATATGTGATACGATCATTGATAAATATATTTTACATGTATATTCGTTCTTTTAAACTTGATAAAAAAAAATAATAATTATAAATCGAGTGAATTTTTACTTAATTTAATCTAATATTTTTTTTAGGTAAATCCAGGATTTTAAGGTACTCGGAGTGAAAAGGAAGATTTTGAGCCTAGTTGAAGACTAACCGGATTATATGAGATTGACAAGAAGGATTAAGAGAGAATTGGGGGAAAATCACAAGTTTTGCAAGTGAAATTCAACTTATCAAAAGTTCGGAGACTGACTTTCACAATTTTGAAATTTTAGAAGGATCAAGTTTGGATGATTATGAAGGTTCAAGGACAAAAATGGACACTTTTGAAAGTTGCAAAAATAAAATTGAAGTTTTAGACAAAAAAGGACCTAAGCAGTGCAAAAATTTGAATCGGAGACTAAAATGCCAAAAAAATGAAACTCACAAACGTTAAACACATTACACATGCAAGAGAAAAGAGGAGAAAATAAAAAGGGAAAATAGAAAGAAAAAGTAAGGATTACAAGAACTTGGTGTGAAAGAGGTGGACTCTTGGTAACAAATCGAGAGGTGACACATTTAGACTGTGTAGTAAAATTTAATAATTAAATAAAAGGTAAGGATATGCTTTTATTATTGTTGCAATCTTTAATTGAATTTCTTGATAATTTTATATGTTTAGTTGATGTTTATTTGAATTCACGTATATATAATAAATAGACTCGACTAGATATGATTAATTTGAACTCGAAAGACATAAGCTAATTTAATCAAGGACAACTTTAGGAATTTAACTTAAGAGGCGAGATTAAAGGGGATCACTATGGTGAAATAATGACTCACAATGCTTTAACTATAATTTTTTATCATTTAATTGCCTTTATTTTCCTCATTTAATATTAGTTTAATAAAAAACTTGCCATCAATGTTTGCTGTATTCAAATGAGTGTTGAATATTTGGATTAATCATTAAATAAATAATCTTTGTGAAATAATAATCCAAATTCTTAGATCAACTTTATTATTTATTTAATTGATATTGTACATTTGCAATTTTCACACAACAACCGTCCATCCAAATCACAACACATAGGATGCATGTCAAAACTTTGACTCTTGAAGACATGCAACCATGGCGTAATGTAAAAAGTATAAATATGTGTTCTTTTTCTAGTGTCAAATAACTATAACTGAAACCCTCTAAATCCATGTGTTTCTTTTGCTTGTTTCTCATTTGATTTGATTTGATATTGCTCCCATAAACACGGATCAGGACTTAATCCATAAGTAACACTATGGCTTATTCTCCCTTAATGATTATATGCTTGCAATTCAAGATAGTATTAATTATAACCATGAACAAGGAGCCAATATGTGTGTTTGTGTGTTTGAAGTTAGGTATTGAATTGATGAAGGCAGAAGAAGATTTTGTATAAAAGTACATGTATGGGAACCCTTTTGACAACTCAAGTTACCATAAATTCAGATTTTAATGCATAGAGTGGCTTTAAATGCAGTGTGGAAGAGTTGGATTTAGGCATTAAAGTGACATATACTTGTCACCATTAATGCTTGGACTGCCCTACTTTTAATGTGTGTGACGAAATCCAATTTAAGGAGGACTTGACATACACTATCTTGCATGAATTCCTGAAAAAAAAAAAAGGTTTATAATGTAAATCCTTTCTTCTTCCAATATATTTCTTTCCAGTTTGTAAAGTTGATATCGATCGATTAGATGGATTTCACAGAACTCTCTTTGGCTCCCAATTATGGATCTTTTGATCCATCTGATCATGTAAGTCTTCCTATGAAGAGGAAATGGATGAATGCAGAATCTCCTAGTGTAGATCTTCAGCTCAACGACCCCCTTCCCTTGGATTGGGAGCAATGCCTTGATCTTGAATGTCTCTCTCTCTCTCTCTCTCTCTCTCTCTCTCTCTCTCTCTCTCTCTCTCTCTGTGTTTAACTCATGTATAATGTTGGACTATGTTGGTATTCGATATGTGTATTAGGTCGTCCTAATATTCCTACTATATAAATAATTTTGGAGGCTAGCGAGTTTTTGTGTCTCGGTGTAGTAATGTTTAAAGTTGGTTTTCTGTACACCTATTAAGTTGTCTTCCTATCCTTGCCACGTAAAAAATTTTAGCAGGCCAATTTATGTGTGTGAGAGATGTGTCATCGCCTTCTACAATCTTTCCTCGTTGTCGTGAAATCCTAGTGCAAAAAGGTTGATTCTGATTCTGTTTAAAACCCTCTAAATCCATGTGTTTCTTTTGCTTGTTTCTCATTTGATTTGATTTGATATTGCTCCCATAAACACGGATCAGGACTTAATCCATAAGTAACACTATGGCTTATTCTACCTTAATGATTATATGCTTGCAATTCAAGATAGTATTAATTATAAACATGAACAAGGAGCCAATATATGTGTTTGTGTGTTTGAAGTTAGGTATTGAATTGATGAAGGCAGAAGAAGATTTTGTATAAAAGTACATGTATGGGAACCCTTTTGACAACTCAAGTTACCATAAATTCAGATTTTAATGCATAGAGTGGCTTTAAATGCAGTGTGGAAGAGTTGGATTTAGGCATTAAAGTGACATATACTTGTCACCATTAATGCTTGGACTGCCCTACTTTTAATGTGTGTGACGAAATCCAATTTAAGGAGGACTTGACATACACTATCTTGCATGAATTCCTGAAAAAAAAAAAAAAAGGTTTATAATGTAAATCCTTTCTTCTTCCAATATATTTCTTTCCAGTTTGTCTAGTTGATATCGATCGTGCTCGATTAGATGGATTTCACAGAACTCTCTTTGGCTCCCAATTATGAATCTTTTGATCCATCTGATCATGTAAGTCTTCCTATGAAGAGGAAATGGATGAATGCAGAATCTCCTAGTGTAGATCTTCAGCTCAACGACCCCCTTCCCTTGGATTGGGAGCAATGCCTTGATCTTGAAGTTCTCTCTCTCTCTCTCTCTCTCTCTCTCTCTCTCTCTCTCTCTCTCTCTCTCTCTCTCATGTATAATGTTGGACTATGTTGGTATTCGATATATGTATTAGGTCGTCCTAATATTCCTACTATATAAATAATTTTGGAGGCTAGCTAGTTTTTGTGTCTTGGTGTAGTAATGTTTAAAGTTGGTTTTCTGTACACCTATTAAGTTGTCTTCCTATCCTTGCCACGTAAAAAATTTTAGCAGGCCAATTTATGTGTGTGAGAGATGTGTCATCGCCTTCTACAATCTTTCCTCGTTGTCGTGAAATCCTAGTGCAAAAAGGTTGATTCTGATTCTGTTTATTTTATTATTGTTCACGTACATAGGGATTATGGTCTATGTCCTAAACCCATATCATTTATACTGTGTTGCATGGCACTACAATTGATTAGTAACATCTCATCGAATCCACGAATAAGTGTGTAATTTTTTGTGATTGCAGTCAGGCAGAATGTATTATCTAAATCGAGAAACATCGAGAAAAACATGGAACCGGCCCAAAGAACAGAAGCTTGATCTTGAACTAAACATGTCAAGCTTCAATGAACAACATAGTAATTGGGGATCAGATCATCAACAAGAAATGATCAAGAAACCGCAGAATTCATCAAATGGCGGCAGTAGCATGATTGCTTTAGCTTGTTCAAATTGTCATCTCCTTGTAATACTTTCAAGGACTTCTCCTTCCTGTCCTAACTGCAAGCATGTCCACTCCTTTGCAACATCACAAACTCAGCCCAACTCGTCTTTTTCGTCATCCTACTGCAACTTAAGCCTTTGAACAAGATATATATAGATATATATATGTATGTATCCTGTGAGATGCTGCCAAATAAATTGTGCTCGGAAATACTTGGTAGAAGGTAGTTTAAGCATAACATTGGTATGTTGGCAGTGTTATATTTCATTTTCATGCAGATGAAATAGTAAATATTTTCCAAAGTTATTATCCAGTTTTTACATTTTCTTAGTGATTATTATTATTATTTAGGTCTTATCTATTTATGTTCTGTTTTGTTATATCACTTGAAGTCCAAGAGATATCAAATTAAAGCGCTAACTTGATAAGTATAATGAGATTGACAGCAGCAAATTCATTTTTAATTTAGTAGTGGGAAGCTCTGGTCGTTGCGAATCTGTTAGCCACGTATTGTCCATGTTCTTTCTGAGGAGAAAATTTAGCCCGTCTCCAATGATTTATGTCTGAAAGATCACGTAACATGATATCTCAGTGTGATTGTGATATTTCAATAATTCGAAAAGATTAAGTTGTTACAAATCAATATTATCGACAAGATCTTTATATTGCCCATTGCATAATATTTTCACCAAAAACTTGGCACCGAGACTTTCTATTTAAACGCAGGAAACATTCTCTCTCTCTCTCTCTCTCTCTCTCTCTCTCTCTCTCTCTCTCTCTCTCTCTCTCTCATGTATAATGTTGGACTATGTTGGTATTCGATATATGTATTAGGTCGTCCTAATATTCCTACTATATAAATAATTTTGGAGGCTAGCTAGTTTTTGTGTCTTGGTGTAGTAATGTTTAAAGTTGGTTTTCTGTACACCTATTAAGTTGTCTTCCTATCCTTGCCACGTAAAAATTTTTAGCAGGCCAATTATGTGTGTGAGAGATGTGTCATCGCCTTCTACAATCTTTCCTCGTTGTCGTGAAATCCTAGTGCAAAAAAGTTGATTCTGATTCTGTTTATTTTTATTATTGTTCACGTACATAGGGATTATGGTCTATGTCCTAAACCCATATCATTTATACTGTGTTGCATGGCACTACAATTGATTAGTAACATCTCATCGAATCCACGAATAAGTGTGTAATTTTTTGTGATTGCAGTCAGGCAGAATGTATTATCTAAATCGAGAAACATCGAGAAAAACATGGAACCGGCCCAAAGAACAGAAGCTTGATCTTGAACTAAACATGTCAAGCTTCAATGAACAACATAGTAATTGGGGATCAGATCATCAACAAGAAATGATCAAGAAACCGCAGAATTCATCAAATGGCGGCAGTAGCATGATTGCTTTAGCTTGTTCAAATTGTCATCTCCTTGTAATACTTTCAAGGACTTCTCCTTCCTGTCCTAACTGCAAGCATGTCCACTCCTTTGCAACATCACAAACTCAGCCCAACTCGTCTTTTTCGTCATCCTACTGCAACTTAAGCCTTTGAACAAGATATATATAGATATATATATGTATGTATCCTGTGAGATGCTGCCAATCGTGTCTGTTAAGTCGGCTAACAGTCGACTGTTTGGTCGGTAAACAGTCGACTGTTTGGTCGGTAAACAGTCGAAACAGTCGATTGTTAAAAGAAAATAAAACACCCAGAATAAGCCAAAATTTAAATTTCATTTTGTACCAAACATTGGTATGTTGGCAGTGTTATATTTCATTTTCATGCAGATGAAATAGTAAATATTTTCCAAAGTTATTATCCAGTTTTTAAATTTTCTTAGTGATTATTATTATTTAGGTCTTATCTATTTATGTTCTGTTTTGTTATATCACTTGAAGTCCAAGAGATATCAAATTAAAGGGCTAACTTGATAAGTATAATGAGGTTGACAGCAGCAAATTCATTTTTAATTTAGTAGTGGGAAGCTCTGGTCGTTGCGAATCTGTTAGCCACGTATTGTCCATGTTCTTTCGGAGGAGAAAATTTAGCCCGTCTCCAATGATTCATGTCTGAAAGATCACGTAACATGATATCTCAGTGTGATTGTGATATTTGAATAATTCGAAAAGATTAAGTTGTTACAAATTAATATTATCGACAAGATCTTTATATTGCCCATTGCATAATATTTTCACCAAAAACTTGGCACTGAGACTTTCTATTTAAACGCAGGAGTTAATCATCTCGCGGAGTAGAACGTGAATATGCTAGGTCCCGTATTATTTAAAAGGTGGGTCCCACTGAAAATTGGGCTCAAACTTGATCCATTAAACCATTTTTTTCCAACAACAATATCTTTAATTCCATAGTTGCAAGAATAATTTTGTCGACATTCACTTCATATAGCTTCCAAGAATCCTGTTTGAACTCACACACGACATATTGAGCTTGCAGATGAAAGTTGGCTCTCACGTTGATTTTCCCTAAAACTCGTGTATTTATTTCTCTATGCACAAGTGCAGACAAATGAATGATAAGAACATACCAAATATATAAACTCAACGTGGTCTGACAATAAAAAATTGGAAAAATTGCAGTCGAGGTATCAAATCTTTTGTTTATTACTAGACTTGAGCCAAACCTTTCGTTTATGCCACCGGAGGTACCAAGCCATTAAAAAATTTGCACCTAGAGTCCAAATTGACAAAAATCGTTAGTTTGACTGTTATTGACCAAAAATCAAAGACCTAACCAATTGTTGATTGATTTTTAAAGGGACAAATATATAACTTTACATTTTCATATAAAAAATTAAATTAAAAGAATTAAAAAAAAAAAAGTCATCTTCTCCCCTCACCCCCACCCCTCCCCCTCCCAAAACCAAAAACCAATATTTGGAATCTCGTTAACTTTCTCATCCTTGTCGGAAGCTTCACCAGAATCTCAAAAGTTGATTTTAAACCCTGCAACTCATTTTTCTAACTCTTCAAAAAACCTCCAGTCACCAAAACATGTTGCAACCAAAAACCAATTTTCTCGAGGTTTTCTAGTTATGTCACTTTTCCAGAGAGAAGAAAGAAGAGATATGTTATAGAAAATATGAACAAATCTCACAAAGATAAAAAAACTCATGGAAATTTTTTATTTCTCTCAACTAATGCAGTCACAAAGGGTTTACAATGCTTTATATAGGAAAAACCCTAAGAAAATTTGAAAAATTAAAAGATAATAATAACAAACGATTTTTTTCCAAAAATGGAAAAATTTGAGATAATGACTAAAATTGAAAATTCTAATTTTAAGGGTTATCCTCCAACAAACGGAATTCAAATCCAACTTAAATTGATAAATATATAACTAAAATAAAACTTACAAAAAATGTAAAAAATGCTTAAACAAAGGCTTAAATGAAGGAATTTGCCCGAAGTTGGGTCTACATCAGAAGTAATGCTGTTGTTTTTGTTCATTGGTCATTTCCAATCAAATTTGACTAAAATTTCGTCAAAATAGACAACCTCAAAATATCTCCAAAAACTAGGAAGTTACCTATTTATGCTTGCATGGGTCCCACTTTTTCATAAAGTCTAATTCCTTCTACACCACATCATTCCCCATTGGTTGAGAAAAATTCACACTAGAATTTGGCGAGGAAGTAACTTCATTATCAGAGTTATCACCACGAAATGGCACCAGATGCTTAACATTAAAAACATCAAATGTACGAATGTGACTGGGCAGCTTCAAACGTTATGCATTGGGATTGATCTTTTTAATGATCTCAAATGGACCAATTTTCTTTGCAGTAAGCTTGGTATATTCATGAGTAGGAATACGATCCTTTGTCAACACTGCCCAAACAAAGTCACCAATCTCAAACTCGACATGGCAACGTTTAAAATCCGCATGATGCTTATACTTAGTAACAACAGCCTGCAAATGATCATAAATCTGTGAATGGACCTGCTGCAACTGCTTAATGAAGTCCTCCATTTTATCATGCATCTTAAAAATTGTAGAAACTGTATCCAGATCAAGAGGAGGAACAAGGCCATACATGATCTAAAAAGGACTAAAGCCTATATTTCGATTAACTGCATGATTGTGAGCAAATTCTGCCTGACACAATTTTTTATCCTAGGACTTGATGTGATCACCAGCTAAACAACGTAGTAAATCGGCCAAGGAACAATTCACAACCTCTGTTTGAGGATGATATATACTGCTAAAGTCCAACTGTGTATTGACCATAAGCCATAAACTACGCTAAAAGTGACTAAGAAAACGAGTATCGCGGCTAGACACAATAGAAATAGGAAGTCCATGTAGATGATAGACCTCAAAGTAATACATCAATGCCATACTAACTGCATCCGTAGTCTTCTTGTAGGGAATGAAATGGACCATCTTGGATAAACGATCAACTACCACAAAAATAGAATCAAATCCAAGCCGCGTCTAAGGAGGCCCCAAGATAATGTCTATACTGACATCCATCCAAGGTTGTCGAAATAGGCAGGGGCATATAAAAATCATCATTTGTAGCCTTACGTTTAGCAAGATGACATGTTCGACAACGCTCCACGAACCTACCAACATCTTTGTACAATGAAGGCCAAAAATAAGAAGCACCAACTAGCTGTAATATTTGATCACAACCCATGTGGCCCTCATTATGGAACTCTTAAATTATCTTAAATAGCAAACTGCCCTTAAGAATACATAGTTGATTTTCCCAAAAAAGAAAACCATTGACGCATGCAAAATCCGAATCTACGCCCTCCTGCAACTTTCGAATAATCTGTCAAAAATATGGATCAGTAGCATATAAATCACAAATAGTGTCAAAATCAGGGACCTCCATTTGCAATTCTATCAGAAGAGTTTGTCGTTTACTCAATGCATCTACCACCTTGTTAAAATCACCTGCTTTGTACTTAATCACAAAAGTAAATTGCTACAAATAAGCAATCCTAGAAGCATGCCGAGTAGATACCTTATCTTGAGTACCAAAGTGTTTAAGGACGTCGTGGTTAGTATATCGAGACTTAGGACCAGAAAGATTCTCACCGAAATATGCAACAAGACGATTAATCTGGCTCAGCACGCCACCAGTACCCTATTTAAAGCATCACAATACGACTCAAACGACTAAGTAAAATCAGGCGACACCTAACTGGGGTAGTTGTTAATTTCTGCTTAATCAACTGAAGAGACCCCTTTACCTCAGGAGTCCACCGAAACTTGCGACCCTTATATAATTTATAATTGGAGCCATAGTACTACTGAAATGTGGGATA